TGGGGCTGGGGATTTTGTGGGGTGGGGAGGGGGCAATGGGGGAGTCAGGGGAGATGTGGGGTCACCTGAAGCCCACCCTTTTCCCCCCAAGGCATCGCCTCCTTCCAGTGCCTGCTGGGGCTGGGGGTGTGGAACCCCCGCGGGCCCGACCTGAGCAACTGCACCAGTCCCTGGGTCAACCAGGTGGCCCAGAAGGTACCAAGGGGCCCCAAAACCAGAACATTCCCAAAGGGGACACCTGTAAACAGAAATCCCGCAGAACAGGGACCCTCCAGAAATAGGGATACTCTCTAATGGGGATCCCCCAAAAATGCAGATACTTCCAAAATGGGATTCCCCCCCCACTAAATGAGGATACCCCCAAAATAGGGACCTCCCCGTGACAGGGACCCCCCAGAAATGAGGATACCTTGAAAATGGCAACTCCCCCATTTGGGGACCCACCTCAGGACCTTCCCTGTCTCAGTGACACCCCTGACCCCAGGGCGACCCTGGGACCCCCCCAGGTCCTCTGTGACCCCCCAGGCCCCTCCCTGGAGGATCCTGGGGTGTCCATCTCTCTAGAGGGACAAACTGGAGGGGCTGCTCCCTACTCAGGGGGTCCCCCAACCCCCCTGGGTGATATGGGGGTGGCCCCCAGGCCCGCTCTGGGGCCCCCAGACCCTCTGTAGCCCCCCCCACATCCTCACCGCCCTCCTTAGAGACACCTCAGAGCATCCCCATCCCACAGAAGTGACTGATCTCTGTTCAGGGGTTCCCCCAAACCCTGTGGGGGATATCGGGGAGCCCTCCCTCACCTGCGGGTGCCCCTCCAGATCAAGAGCGGGGAGAATGCGGCGAGCATTGCAGGGGAGCTGGCGCGGCACACGCGGGGCCCGGTGTTCGCGGGGGATGTCAGCTCGGCCGTGCGGCTCCTGGAGCAGCTCCTGGACATCCTGGACGCGCAGCTCCAGGCCCTGCGCCCGCTCGAGAGGGAGTCAGCTGGCAAAAATTACAACAAGGTGGAATTCCAAAACCCGGGTTTGGGGGAGATCACCACCCTGGGAGGGTGGGGGGGATGG